GCGAAAGGGAAGCTGACCAATTACCACCGCATAGACCCTTTGATTGTCAAATCAATTTACTGCCTGGGGCACAGCTCCCTGTAGGCAAGTTGTATGCCATGTCAGACAGAGAGATACAGGTGCTAAGAGAGTTTATTGACAAAAACCTGAAGAGAGGTTTCATCAGAGAGTCAAGAGCGGTGGGAGGTAGCCCAGTGTTTTTTGTGGATAAAAAAAACACGGACAAGCCGAGACTTGTGTGTGACTTTAGGGCCCTGAACGCAGTGTCAGAGCCCCTGGCTTTCCCCATGCCCAGGATTTATGACATTTTGAACAGGGTGCGGAAGGGAAAGATTTTTACAAAGCTGGACCTAAGGGGGGCGTACAACCTGATACGTATAAGGAAAGGGGATGAATGGAAAACCACCATGTTCACCCCTTTGGGGGCATTTGAATATCTCGTTATGCCATTTGGATTACAAGCAGGCTCGGCGTGCTTTCAATCGCTGATGAACCACGTACTAGGGCCTTTGCTTTACAAGAATTGTGTGGCCTTCCTAGATGACGTGTTGGTGTATTCTGAGAATGAGGAGCAACATGTAAGAGACGTCAGAGAAGTGTTGAGCAGGCTGCTAGCCAACCGGCTGCGGGTGAAACTGGAGAAGTGTCAGTTTCATACCAAGGAGGTGGAGTTCCTGGTGTACCGCCTGTCAGACAAGGGATTGGCCATGGATCCCGGCAAGGTCCAGGCAGTGCTGGAATGGAAAACACCCAAAACAAAGAAGGATGTGCAGAGGTTCCTAGGGTTTGGGAACTTTTATCGTAAGTTCATCCGAAACTTTGCCCACCTGACGGCGCCCATTACGGACTGTCTCAGCAGTAAGAAGAAATTCGTTTGGACTGAGGAGGCGGAGCGAGCTTTTGAGGAGCTAAAAAGGGCCTTCGCCTCTGAAGAACACCTTCTGCATGTGGATTTACAAAAGAAGATGAGAGTCGAAACGGACGCATCAGACAGAGCCATAGGGGCGGTGCTTCTTCTGCAGCCAGGGAAGGAGGAGTCAGAGTGGAGGCCATGTGCTTTTTTCTCGCGAAAGCTGAACAAATCCGAGAGGAACTACACGGTGTACGATCGAGAACTTCTTGCTATTCATGAGGCTTTTCGGAGATGGAGGCACCTGCTAATTGGCGCACAACATAAGGTGCAAGTGTGCACTGACCACAAGAACCTAGAGTATTGGAGAACGGCACGAGTGCTCAACCAACGGCAGTTGAGGTGGGCCCAGGAGTTCTCCAAATTTAACTTTGAGATTCGTTACGTGCCAGGCCCAGAGAACGTTAGGGCGGACGCTCTCTCACGCAAACCTGAATATTTGGAGGGGGAGGGAGCACCCGAAGAAAGACATGTCATTCCAGAGGACCGCTGGGTGTGTGGGGCGGCATTGGTGGGGCAAAGAGAATTGGTAGAGGGAACGGAGAATGATGAATATGCCCAGGACAAACTCAGGGGACTCAGGAGGGAGGGAGATAAACCCGGAGGTTTTGAGGAGAGAAACGGGGCGTTGTACTACAAGGGAGCGTTATATATACCTGAAGGAGATTTGAGGGGGAAGGTACTCAAGCAGCTGCACGATAGCCCCACAGCGGGGCATTTTGGGCAACACAGAACCATGTGGCTGGTGACCAGGGAATTTTGGTGGCCCAAGGTCAGGGAAGACGTGCGGGAGTATGTGAGGAGTTGTGACCAATGCCAGCGAGCCAAAGGGGAAAGGCGGGCGCCGGCAGGGTTATTAGAACCGCTACCCACACCAGAAAGACCATGGGAAGCAGTGGCCAATAGATTTTATGACTGATCTGCCAAGGTCCAGAGGGAAAACAGCCATCATGGTTGTGGTAGACCTGTTAACCAAAATGGCACACTTTATAGCCTGCTCACATGCTGTCACGGCAGAAGAAACAGCTAAATTGTTTGTAGAAAATGTGTTTAGGTTGCATGGCGCCCCCTTGAGGGTGGTTTCTGACCGAGGGAAACAATTTACTTCCAGGTTCTGGAGGAAGCTCATGAGCTTACTGCAGGTAGAGGTTAATTTCTCGACTGCCCGGCATCCTGAGACCAATGGGCAGGCGGAAAGAGCCAATGGCATCCTCCAGCAATATTTGAGGTGTTATGTCAATGACAGAGAGAATGATTGGGTGGAGAAGTTGGCATTGGCGGAATTTGCCTACAACAATGCGGAGAACGTGTCCACGGGGATGAGCCCCTTTTTGGCTAATTACGGGTGCCATCCCAGGGCTTTCCCAGGGGGGGAAGGGGAGAGATGGAGCGTTCCAGCTGCCGAACAGTTCGTAGAAGAAATGGAAGCGATCCATCGCCAGCTCCAACTTAACTTAGACTGGGCCAAGGAGGAATATAAGAGGCAGGCAGACAAACACAGGAGAGAAGGTGAAACCATTAGGGTGGGGGACGAAGTGTGGCTGTCAACCCAAGGGTTACCCTTCAAAGGGGGTTGTAAAAAGTTAAGACCCAAAAGATTGGGCCCATTTGAAATCACACAACAGGTCAACCCAGTGGCTTTCAGACTCCGGTTACCGAACCACATGAAGCTGCACCCAGTTTTCCACAGGTCATTGCTGTCACTGTATAAAGGGGACAGAGAAGGGAGGGTCACTCGGGGACCAGCAATGGAGGAAAGGGAACAAAGCTACCATGTAGCGGAGATCCTCGATTCCAGGTGGAAGGGAGATCAAGTAGAGTATTTGGTAATGTGGGAAGGGGAACCGGAGTCGGAAAACACCTGGGTCAGGGCAGAGGATGTCAATGACGAGGTTTTAATAGAAACTTTTCATCAGAGGTTCCCACGCAAGCCTCAGCCTGTAGCGAGGCTCCGGAGGGAATACTTTGCCACCACCGACGAAGAAGAGGATTTGGAGGGGTTCACAGAGTCCGAGGAGGAGGAGGAGTCAGCGAGCCGGGACGGCGACCGATGGAGGGAAATGTTCGAGACGTCTGAAGATGAAGAATATTCCTTTTGGGGTTTTACCTCCTCACCTCCCAGAGGAGAGGAAACGGGAGGGGGTGAAGGGGGCCCTGGAGGGGAGGTGGATGTCAGGGAACTGCCATCGGAGGAACAGGTGGTGGAGGGGCTCAGGGAGGCTGGGAGAGACTCAACAGCTGAAGCAGGAACCAGCCGGGGGAGGAGTGGATCTCTGAGGGAATGCGAGCAGGAGGGAGGGCTCAGAGACGCTTCCAGCGAGAACAGTGGGGAGGTATCTGAAGCTCCCATAGGGAGACCCACGCCTCGCCGGAAACTGTCACGCCGTGAGTCCAGAAGACGTGTTTCCGTTAAGGAGCTTTTATGCTGGAAACGATTCCGAAAGCAACCACTGTCGGAACCTGCAAGTGACTAGAGCAGCCATGTCTGAGGGGCTCCGTCACAGACAGAGGTTTGTGAACGTGCACAGACTCTGAGGGACTACGCTTTTACGCACAAGCAGCTCATCATCCCATCACAGCAACTTTGATGCTTTAAATGTGCATTCTGTAGTTTACCTCCTTTGTAACATTTTATTTTGAAATATTTAAAATAATATTTTAGTTTCCTGTTACTTTGTTGGCCTAAATGTATACTTTAATGTTTGACTTTCTTTGGTAATTTTTATTCTGGATTGTTCTATTTGATGTTTTAATGTGTTGTAAACCGCTTTGATGTACCATATTTTTCGCTCTATAAGACGCACCAGACCACAAGACGCACCTAGTTTTTGGAGGAGGAAAACAAGAAAAAAAATATTCTGAATCTCAGAAGCCAGAACAGCAAGAGGGATTGCTGCGCAGTGAAAGCAGCAATCCCTCTTGCTGTTCTGGCTTCTGGGATAGCTGCGCAGCCTGCATTCGCTCCATAAGACGCACACACATTTCCCCTTACTTTTTAGGAGGGAAAAAGTGAGTCTTATAAAGCAAAAAATACGGTATTTTTCCTTAAATATATAAAGTGGCATAGGAATGAAATGAACAAATAAAAAAATAAAATAAAAAACTATATACAGTGGTACCCTGATTTTAGAACAGCTTAGTTTATGAACAACTTGGAATAAGAACACTGCAAACCCAGAAGTAGGTGTTCCAGTTTGTGAACTTTGCCTTCGAAGCAGAACATGTTCCGCTTCCTGTTGAGTGTGTTCCGTTTGTAAATTGAGTCCCCCGCTGCTAATCAGAGGCTTCTTGTTGAGTCTGTCAGCTGTTGAGTCCCAAGCACCCACACAACACAGAGGTGATTTTTGGAGCTTTTGTTTTTGCTATTTTTTGCGGTTTTTGTTTGTGTGGCTTTTTCGCTTTTTTGACTGTGACTTGTTCTTTGTTTTATGGGACTGACTGGTGACTGTGGCTTGTGACTTTGTTTTTGTGACTTGTTTTTGTGACTGTGTGGAACCCAATTCAGCTACTGATTGATTTATTGATTGATTGTGTGACTGCAGAAATGGATAAAAGCCCCCCATCCAAACAATGACTATCATCAGTGCATGTAAGAAATATATATTTTTAAAAAATTTATCATCTACACTGCCTTATTTATTCTACAGTATAGTACACTGATTATTGCTTTCATTTTATGGATCAATGGTCTTGTTAGATAATAAAATTCATGTTAAATTGCTTTTTTAGGTGTTGTTTTTAAAAGTCTGGAACAGATTAATCGCTCCGGAAAGAATTAAGTTTGGGACCCAAGGTACTATTGTAGTCACAAGACATCTCTAGTATCAACATGTGCATATAATTCATTAGGGTTCTTGAAGAAGCATACAGTCACAGAAATGATAATTTCTACACCAATGTTATATAGCCATTCATTCTTTTTCACAGCATGCTTGTGCATTCCGTTATAGATTAATAATCCATACAAACACCGGAACTCAAATATAGTAGAACTCTACAGCAGGCAATGCTGTAACCTAAAGAAAGAAAATTATCCTCAAAGTGCTGCTTTGTGGCATGGTACACATTGACTGGTTTTGTTAGCACTCACCCTGAGCCTGTCTTTGGGCAGAGCAACAGCTCCTTGCTTGATGATTTCCAGAACTCTCTCTACAGACAGCTCAGCCCCAGCCTGCTCAATTCTGGAGCTAAAGAAGCTGATCACCTGGAATGGAACAGGGAAATATATATTATATATATACACACACATACACTTCTGTCTGTAAATAAGTGGAAGCACAGGTTAATTAAACAATGTCAGGGTATCTGCCAACTAGATTCCCCCCCCCCTTTTTATTGGTTTTTACAATATTATCCACAAGATTTTTTTTTAAGGATATAGAAACCTACTCAGCTGATTTATGACAGTGAGTCATTTCTTAATTGAGATTCTTCAGCTGTCAGGTATAAATGCTAGATTAAAAACAGTATTTAGCATTTGTATTCCAGGTAATTTAAGCACTATTATTTCCACATCTTCAACTTGTTCCTATACACTATGACCATGATCCAAGAATGTACATATGCATACTTCAGCAATACTGCATAGCAGCTAAAAGACCGCAAAGTTCAGCGAATTTTCAGCTTCTGCTCCTATCTGCCACATGGCTTTTTTTGACTACTGAAGCAGGAACAAAGTTTCCTAAGAAAACAGGAAATCGCAGGAGTAATGATTGCTTTGGGTTTTTATTTAATCTTCATGATAATGCTCAGAACCATGAAGACTACATTGGCTAGTTTATCTTACGCACCAAGGCCTATACGATAATGTTTTGCAATATCACATAAAGGAAGGTAGATCTAGAAATGCCGCTGACACATCTCTAAACATGCAATCGTGAGAAGCTAGGTAGACCTATCTTAAGAAGAGAAACAATGCACATGTCATTGAAGGCAGTTAACATTCCTTTGATAATCGTAGCCAAGGACTAGGAAATGGTTTACTGCATGGCAATAATGTTCTTGGGATGCTTTTGCAATGCAGAGCTAGGCACCCAACTGAAGCTGTTAAGCCTAATTAGGCCCTTACAACCTATTAGTAAAACAAAAGAGAGCTGATGGTTTGATTACTCCAGGATTCAAATGAGACATACTGTTGCTGCAGGCAAGTACAGGAATTCTCTTTTGGACTAAGGAGACCTGCCAGGCTTGCAAAGAAGACTTTTCAGAATATGCTTAAAGTAGAAAGTGAACAAAATTCAACAGAAAAGCATCCCTTCCTGTAAAGAAATAACTGCTCTGCTGATCCTAATTACTGTCGACTGCAAATCCTAAGCAAATATCTTGTAAAGGTTTTAATTACCACAAACCTTAACCTTAGCAGATCTATCCTTTTGGTAGACCTGTGAGCCAGTACTTCTGTTCTGAGCATCCTCAGAGCTGTTTCCTTGAAGGCCACACCTCCAACAAATTCAAAGCACATAGGTGGGTGAGGCCACCTAGTTTCTTTTCACCACCTCCATTCTCTCTCTTCCCCCTACCTCTCCTCTTCCCATTAGAGTGCTTAAAGCATTTCACATACATTATCATAGTAATCCAACAACGTATTTGCAAGGTATGTCAGTTTATCCTCATGCTGTGGTGAGAGGGAGGCTGAGTCAGAAAGCAGCTTGCCTAAAACCACCTACTGAGTTTATTGCAAATGTAAGATTTGAACAGTGGAGTTTTCATTCATCAATGCTATACAAGCTCTCACTATTATCATCTTTTTGGTGGCAGGTAAAAGTGATGTTTATTAGTGCACTACCAAAGTTTCCTGTGGCTGTTTTGGGGTTGTTTTGTTCTGTTTTTATGGTAGAATGTAGCTGCGTTTAAATTTTCAATGTGTTGGAAGTTTCTTAGAATAATAAATAAAAATAACAATACAAGCCCATGAAAAAGAAGGTAGAGGGTAGACCCACATACACAGATTTGCAGTGTTCAGTGTATCGGTCATGGGAAAGCTACTCTCTAATGGTATCAGATGCTCAGGAATCGCAAGTAACTCCTTATTTTAATGCAACAAGTCTTATTAAGTCCTCATAAATTAACAAATCTGTGTTCGCAGTAAGTTAACATCCTGCCTACAAAGACATCCTTAAGAGTCAACAGCTAGCAACTGCAGCAAACAGCTGTAGTCATTCTTAACTTGTTTGATTTCCTCCCACTTTTTGAAATGCTTTTCAAGTTCCTTATAAGAATTACCCATCTTGCGGGAAGATCCTCAATACAACAAAAATAATAAGTAACCAATTTTGTGTAACATTTAGGATATCAGTACACCATTAACAATTACCAGTGAGAAAATGCATATCACATCCCTCAAAATGGGAATCCATTCACTTCTGGAACAGGCTTGAGCAGTAAATGAAAACAGAAATCATTCTATTCCTGGTTGCTAAGTGAACCATATGTTTTCTAGCTGCACAAAATCAGAGTTGAAGCTCAGTCCCACAAATCCAGGCCGAATTATTCGTATATTATGCAAATAATGCACGAACACCCAAGTTTATGAATATGAGCAGCACAGCATACCTCATTTGTGTAGGTATTTTTTCCTCTGTACCAGCCAAACTTCCAGGGACAGTTATAGGGTAATGTGCAATCTTCCAGCTGCCCCCTCTTTTACAGCACCAGGGAATACTGACACCCACTTCAACTAGAGAAAAGTGATAGCTCAGACGGTAGAGCATGAGACTCTTAATCTCAAGGTCTTGGGTTCGAGCCCCATTTTGGGCAAAAAGGTTGGACTAGATGATCCTTGCGGTCCCTTTCCAACTCTACAATTCTATGATTCTATATCAGTAAATGTTTTATAGGATGTATGGGAAAGCAGAACAGCTGATGTTCTGGCTTTTTCTTAATTGTTTTAAAGTTATATATTCAGCAACTCTGGTATGATTATTTTAACACACACACACACACACACACACACACACACACTTATTTTGATGTAAAACACGCCTGTAGATGGAAAGGCTGGTGGAAAATATCTTAAATAAATATGTTTGAAAAGATTGGAATGGCTTTTGTTTCTTTTTCAAACAGAAATGTCTGGCAAAATATTTCTATAAAATCAGTTTATCAAATAATGGCTGTGATGACATTTGACAGACTGCCTTACTGAAATATTTTAGCTAGACAGTTATTAATAAATTGTGATTTCCAGTGTTTAGTGTAGATCCAGCCTTTTCCAGTTATTGTTATATTTTTGGTTGGCTCTCAGATTCTGCTTTTTTGAGGGCTTTCAGACTTTTTTTTGGCATGTGTTATACAAGTTATCTGACGTTTATTGCACAAATAAGAATGGATGTATTTGTTCCAATAAACTGATGATAATATACCATCACTGCAATTGATGATGATTATTTTCCTATATAGGCTTTGATTGGGGGATTGGATAAAGCATTAGTGATTCATTGGCTGATAATGTTTTAATTAGACATTTTTTAGCTTTTTAAAATATGCTGTTTCAGGTGCCCCTTTTTGGCAGAGAATGCAATGTATAACTGATTAAAACAAGCAAATAAATAAATAAATAAATAAATAAATAAATAAATCTCTCCTGCAGTAATCAGAGTGCCTGCTCTGCCACCTCCTGTCTTGTCTGGTGTCTCTGCAAGAGGAAAAGCAGATATTCTTACCACAGCAGCCTTCAAGAAAAGTATGATATATTTAAAAACCTCCTTTTCCATTGCAGCTGCTGTTCTGTGCCACCTGATAGTTCCACAAGGGCTCATGAGAATAGAATTAGAGGTACAGTATAAAAAAACAAAGGCAACTTAAAAACATTTTTAAACTTTAGTGTTGAACTGTTGAACAGCTGACCTGATCAATTCAGAAACACAATAGTTCACCATAGGACTATCTAAATGGGAAGGTCGGGTGGAAGGCTAATAAATTTCATTGCCATCACTCCTTCTGTACACTTTCCAGGAGGGACAGCTGACAACCTGCAGGGGACGAGTTCTGAGGCTCCCAGTTGCTTATTTATAACCTACAGTCAAACTAAACATGACACTGCGATATCTCTGACTGCAGATCTGTAATAAAAGCTGTGGAAGGACCCTCTAAATTCAATGTGCACTACAGCACAAATTATTATTTTTTTAAACAAAACCAAAACCAAAACAACCTCTCCCTCTTTTCCTGATGGGTATCACTCCCCATGCTGCTGTTTGGCTCTCAGATGAAAAACTTACAGGTACTATCCTACCTCCACAGTCCTTATCAGATTCAGGAGCTCATCTATTAGGGATTATATTTTGGATAGCATTGCCAGTCCAGTTTGATAAGCTGCTTTGTCACTTTCTCAGCTGCTCAGCTGTTTGCACCTTGTGCATCTTAGTAATTAATTCTGGCAAGCCACTAGGTCCCTGAACTTTGTCACGAAGAGATCAGATCTTATACAGTGGTACCTCGGGTTAAGAACTTAATTCGTTCCGGAGGTCCGTTCTTAACCTGAAACTGTTCTTAACTGGAGGTATCACTTTTGCTAATGGGGCCTCCCACTGCCGCCCCCCGATTTCTGTTCTCATCCTGAAGCAAAGTTCTTAACCCGAGGTACTATTTCTGGGTTAGTGGAGTCTGTAACCCGAAGCGTCTGTAACCTGAAGCACCTGTAACCCGAGGTACCACTGTAAATGTTTCTCTGGACAGATCTAAGATCTCTGGATCTCTAAAAAATAAATTCTTGTAATCACACATCTGTCTAGTGGTAAAATCTGTGTGCTATGCTTTACTACCATAGTATAGGTAGCATCAGACAGAGAGATAAGACAGCAGGGGTAACTATTGCCTTGGCTACCTGGTCCTCATAACAAGTATGTATGACCTTGAATCTGAATAGCATATTTTCTTCTCCCCCTCCAACCTTTTGTGGGTGTTTGGATACAATGCTGCAGGCATTTATCTGCTTTTTTAATTTCTGTACAATTCCCACAGGATTTAGATGCTTTATACATAAATGGCCACTTTTCCCCTGCATGTATGATGTGAGAACCACATGCATCTGTGCAAAAATGAAATAAAAATACAAATCGCTTTCCACAATGAATGTAACAATTGTAAAAGCAAAATCCACATCTACAAAAAGGAGTTTAAGAACCCAGCAGTTCAAAAGCACGTCAAAGTGCAAGTAGATAAATAGGTACCGCTCCGGCGGGAAGGTAAACGGAGTTTCCGTTTGCTGCTCTGGTTCACCAGAGGCGGCTTAGTCATGCTGGCCACATGACCCGCAGGGAAGCTGTACACCGGCTCCCTCGGCCAATAAAGGGAGATGAGCACCGCAACCCCAGATTCGTCCGCGACTGGATCTAACAGTCAGGGCTCCCTTTACCTTTTACTATAAAGGGCATTGTAGAAGATCAGTTCGTAAGAGTTTATTTTTACTTACCAGATCTATATTCTGCATTACATCCTGGAAAGAGGGATGAGTTCGAAATTGCTCAAAGAGATCCCGCTTATAAAGCAGTGCATATACTAAGTTAGGGTTATGATGTAGTGAGTTTGTCAAGCAAGAGTTGATTATCTCTAACATCATTCGAATGACTTCTTCAATAACATTCAGGTCTTGTGCCTATAAGAAACAAGCAGAATAGAAAAAAACATTATCCAGGCACGGTTTCCAATGGTGATTATCCACAGGCAAACAGACTGTATTTAATCTCGTAGATTCTAAGTAAGTAGTGGCACCTTTTAGCAGACCAATTTACATTGATGTAATTAGCACCTTTACTTATTTTCCATGCTTCATTCTGTGGGTCTAATATGGCAATACATCTCAGCCCAACTAGTCTATCCGGCAGCAGTGCTGAAAATTTTCCATTTCAAAAGGTGGATCTTCATACTTCAATGAAGTGTATTATTTTACCATTAAAAAAGAAAGAAATCACTATGCTCTGTCATGAATAACTTTAGTGCCAGCTAGGGCAGACAGTATTGTCTGGGTTCCAGGAAACTCTGTGGCTCCTGGGAAGCTTATCAGTGTTCCTCAGTGATAAGATCAGTAAGGGCAGACAAACTAAAATGGTCAGAAGCAGCTTGATAAAAGTACATGTTATTATTTTATGTAAACCACTGTAGGGATCTTTCTGGGTCAAAGTTGAGGAGAAATATCAAATAAATATCTGGATAAGAATAGTCTAGACATGCTGATCCACAATCTTGTAGCCCATCATCATCATCATCATCATCATCCCACTCTTCTTCATTCAAGGATCAATGGGTGGTTCACAACATAAAAATGAGAACACAAAATATATAGTAAAACAAGAACAAAAACAAACCAATATCCAACGACCCCCGACTCCTATAAACACACTTTAAAGGCCTTAGCATGTTTAATCAGACAAAGGCCTGGTTACAGAGAAATGTTTTCACCTAGTGCCGAAAGAAATGTAATGAAGGCACAGGGAGAGCATTCAACAAATGGGGAGCCACCACAGAAAAGGCCCGTTCTCATGTTGCCGCCCTCTGGGCCTCTGCTGGTACAGAACACTGTTGTAGGATGACAGACAGTACCTCAGCATGCAGTCATAGAACACAGATAAAGTTATTTGCCTAACACCTCCTCTCCCAGTATCATCTGCCCCAGGCCCTGTGGGATGACAGGCAAGAGACCTTTCTTTGGCTCCCTGGCTGTGAACTCTGCTTCTGGAAGTTTTAGTGGCAGAGACTCTGTTGAGTTTCTGCTGCCAAGCAAAAACATTCTTATTTTTCGAGGCATTTGGGGTGAACCAATGAGGCCGCTTTCTGCTTTCAGTATTTTCGGGCTGTTGTTTTCTGTGTTTTAATAATTATTTTATGACATTCTGGAAACCATCTTTGGATCACTATAATGGCACCACTTTGGAAATTATGCAGATGGTGCAGGTGCCTCTACATTTTTAATCCCATGTATTCAAGATGACTCAAATTACACTGAGGCTATAAGAATGTGCATGGAAATGTTGTAAGCTTTCTCAGCGGAGAGGAACAATAGGAAGTTATAAGTAAGTAATTTCCTTCTTAAATGAAAAGGTAGAGGACTTGTGAAGCCACGAATTCATGTCATTTGTGGTATGAACACCCATTCCTCAAAGCCTCCTCCCCTTGCAGAATTCTAATAAATCTTGGTCAATGGTTATTTAATAACAGGTCTGCATGATACTCTTAACCTCAAAATGGATCATAATACCAAGTGACAGGGAAAATAGAATTCTCTCAGAACGCAGGAAGAGCACTCTGTTTTATGGTCTTATTTACAAGGCTGAGCTATACCCCAATACAAAATACCACGAAATAACTCTCCAAGTTCTTCAATGCAAAAACTTACTTGGGGTAAATTTAAACAATGGGCTTCTGGGGAAGGGGATGGGGTTACACAAACAGAGAGTCAAAGACAGTAAGTGGATGAAAGGTGAAATACATGAAGGAAAAACTGCATTTCATTGCTCTCTATACATCAGGCACCTCTACATCTAGACATGGCGTCAGGACAGATATAAACAAGGTTATGAAAACATTTCATGTACATCACCTTGTGTAATAACTTGTGCAGCAGCTTCAAAACAATTGAAACAGATTTTTTTCTCTTTCTCTAAGACAAGACAATGGTTCAAATGAGAAATGCTTTAAAAGCCTTTTTCTCCGATGTAACAGCTGCTCTCCATGCAGAAAGATATATAATTAAACTGGTATTTTTGCACCACATAGTTTGGGCTTTTGTAACGGTTGGGAACCCCCCCCCAAACTACTGAACCTTTTAACTCTGAAATAATTGAGACCAGTGCTGATAAATATCCCAAGATACGGTAAAAATTTTTTTAGCTGGCAGCCATTCTTGGAGGCAATTACTGATTTTTAAGACAACACAATAGGCCAGAAGTATGCAGGCAAGATTCTCAAAAAGAATCTTTTTCCAGATCATACCTCAACAGGGCATACACCCCAGAAGTTCACAGGCTGTTTTAGGGCATATGTATGTGTATATATATATATATATTTACATACATACAGGGATGCCACCAGCATTTCCTGGGCTCAGTACGTTGTAATGGGTACACTGTACTCCTGCATCCTACTCCTCCCTTTCCCTTCTATTGACAAGAGCTGCTGCGTATGTACATACATATATTCACTCTGCCTAGCCTACCTCACAAGGTTGTTGCAAATAGAAAAGGTGAAGTGGAGGAAAAACATACACAACTTTGAGCTGTACACTATGAGTCACAGTAGTGTGCCACAAAAACAAAGTCTTGTGAGGCCAAAGCACTTATTCAGCCTTCTTGCTTTATTTCTTCAGAATTCATTGTTTTGGTCTTATCAAATCAAAGGGCAAACTCAGAATAGGCACTCACATAGCAAGAAACAGAGAGGCCAAAATGTTGGCTTCTGCGACAGCTTGTAATTCTTACATACACCTTTACTTTTTGAGAGCATAAAAGTGTGCTTACAATTTTAACCCGGGAAAAAATGGGCCACAGCTATCAGAAATCACATCCAGATATTCTTAAACTACTTGTTCCGGAGCAGCAAGACTAATGGTTCACATCCAGTGTTCAATTTCTCGCCCAACTTCGTTTAGCAGTGCATATAATTAAAAAAATTGTGACATTCTGTTCAACTTCTAAGGAAACTTGGTCTAGTTAGTAAGTATAAGATAGTTTCCTTTATTTTGGGTTATTACGAGAGAAGCATATGTATTTTGTTTGCAGTAATTCTGGGAAGTTTCCAAGAATTTCCAGAATTTCCTGCATTTTTAACAAGAAACTAAAACCTTCCAATAAAAGTGATGTGGGGGAGGAAAGAAGAAAAAGGAAGTGCGCAGAAAGCTGAATTCAGGTCCAAAGCCAACTTTTCAGTGATAAGAGCTCCGCTGTGCGTATGTAACAGATTTGTTGACACACGTACATAATGCTTCCAGACCACACTGAGCTGCCTTAAAGACAGGACATTAAAATAACCATCATCCCCTTTGACCCCATTTGTTTTGCAACTATGAGTAGGACCTGCCTCCTTAATCTGTATCAATTTTAGTGGACCATCAACACACATTCTTTCTGATGAGCCTAGAAGAGTAAGGACTAACGGCCACCAGCCAGTGCCTTTGGACAATATTGCCCCATACCAATTCTATTTACAATGACCACATCAAAACAACTCATCAAAGGAACGTTAGACTAGCCCTCCTGGATCAGACCAAAGGTTCATCTTGCCCAGTCAAGATTGTGGCCAACCAAGTATCTCTGGAAGGTCCACAAGAGGGACATAATGGCAATACTCCTACTCAGCAGTTGTTTTCCATCAGCTGGTATTCAGTGGCATTTCTGCATCCAACTGCAGGTATCATGTTTCAACAGACAAAAAGTGTCAAGGAAACTGAGGAGTTAGAACTAATTCTGACACAATATATTCCTCTTCACAACCGCTTTGGGAATGGTTCCTATGAAAGAATACACCTGGAAAACATTACATTGTAAGTAGAGAGACATACACACATAGAATGTTCCAGGAACGAACTATGAGCAGGATGCTGAATTCCTGCCATCGCCTATTAGAGACCTTCCCTGGGAAATCCACGTAGATTTTCAATTCCAAGATCATATTTTCCACATGGGAACGATTCTAAAGCCGATTGCGTGGAAGCAAATGTTTGAAGAGGCCTTGGGATGCGAAACTATATCTACATGCATATGTCTATGTGTATATATCTAGGCTCCAGCATACACGAATCAGCAAGATGGCGGTGATGGCAATGGTTGTGGCAGGTTTGCAGACCCCATTAAGGTTTGGCAGTACCCACTTCAAACCTCTTAGTGGCTACAAGGATTTATATACACATCAGCTGCCAGAGCAAGTTCAAGAGTAGGACAGGAGGTCTGCACTGCAGAAAAGAAAAAGAAAGAAAGACTATCCAAACTTAAATATGTACTTAAAAGATTTTTGAGTGATTAGTGCTGCAGAAGGGAAATAATTCAATATGACTTTGATGGAGTTCTACTTCTCCATGGGCAATCTCAATTTTCAAACATTTAAAAAAAGCAGAATTACAACAGAATGAGTTTTTTTTTAAGATCATATGTGAATCCTTAATTCCATGTGGAGATGGAAGAATATGAGACAGCGTTCTGCAGAATACACTGAAGGCCAGTTCAATTCTCAGCAGCAATGGGATTGGGGGGCGGGTGCATGTTTGATGTGCTTGGTACATAATGACCAGCAATTCTAACACTCCCCTGCCAGATATGATCTGCATTAACAGTGTAGACAAACCACACACAAATGAGAAGTTGGGGAGCAAAAGCATGTTTTATGAAATTAGCAGAACTTGCCTATGCGTGTCAACTCAAAAGTAGCTCCTATTAAGTAAATGTGTGGAGGTTGAGGCCTTTAAAAGTTTGTATTCTGGGACCCAGGGAGAGGGGACAGGGAAATTCAAGTATTCTCTCTAATTCATGCTTTACCATTTCCAGCAATTAGGAATAAAACTTCTCCGAGCAGCAATATTTTTGCTGCTGACTCAGGCCTGGAAAGTTTACAGGGAAGCTTTTCTTTTCTCTCCTCCGCCCCCATGACCCCTGAATTTTTGAATTTTAT